ACCAATTGTGCCAACTGAATAAATTATCAATATTGATAAATTTCAGGTTTACACCATAACACGTACAATTATCAATAAACTCCAAGTTTATTATGATATGTGTTTTATATCAATAAACTTTTACTTTATTGTGGCATTCTTTTATTTGTGTAGTATAAACCGGAGAATAAAGTGGGTAGCTTTTCACATACATATTACCCCGCTACAAGTTATAGTAATATAAAATATTAAATCTTTCCTTTATTTATAGTCTCAATATAACCAACCGCATTCGGGAATACCTTAGAAACTCAATTTTAGAAACTCAATTAAGTTTCTTTGAGACTTACTACGACACAATAAATTAACATGATAATCAATTGTATTCCTCCAAAATAGTAATAATTGGCTCTTCCAGAGCTCTCAATTAATTTTGTACTACCACATATTCATCAACATCCATATGGCGAAAAGCTCTTTTAAAGAGAAAGTTATACCATCATGGTTATGGTTAAAATTATATGCAAGATTTATTTCTTGCATTATCGTTGTCTTTAAATAATCACATTGCTAAAACATTTTGGCGTACAATAAGTGCGTGACCAATGACCATTTATGCCATAATAATGACATTATTTTTTTATTTCCTCTCAAACCTCCTTCTAGAGGTGAGTGTGGTATATACCACTAGTACACTCATATTCTTCCAAGAATGAATATGTATTCATAAATCACATATTGTTACATTCACATCATGAATGGACCATATTCATCTATATGTACTTTATAAAATATCATGTCAAATCGATGACAAATATTACTTTCACAAAGTGAAGGATTATTTTGAGAATCCTTATTGTTCTCATTACCACAATGATATGATTATAATGTCGTCTATTGTCACGTCCACATCCATTGATACATTCATAGTAATAATTTTATCTTCTTTCAGATGTATCATATACTACTATCACATTCTCTTAAGGGAATGAGAATAAAACAAATTCAGTGGGACAGGTTTCCACTTTTTATGCTCACAATCATACATGAATTTGATCATGACAAGACATAGAACTTTTATCACTTCGGATGATTATAATTTCTTACAAACTCCATTAGAGTTATAATCAAACTTTGTTGTCTTTGCTTGTATATAAAATCAAATTATAGAATTTAAAAAATTTAAAAGAGAAAAATAAAGTAAAACACTTACCTTAAATCCAGAATTTATCCCGTTTGCCAAACTCGGAGCAATTAGCACAAAAGCAACTGATCAAACATATCTCATCCGTCGAATTTGAAAAATCTTGATTTGTCAATTCGTTGCTATCATCACAGAATGCAACTCATCACACCAAATTAATTTCCATGACAGGATGAGTCAAATACATCTAAATTGTTGATTAGTCTCTCGATCCAACGACTTAGCTTCAAAATCCAAAGCCCAATGGTTTATTATTTTAGTCTCTATTCAATTTGTTAGAGTCTCGTGCTGATAACGTGTCATAAAACAATAAAAGAAGAAAAGAGTATTTCAGAGAAAAGTAGAGAAAGAGAATTCTTATTGATTTGGGATGAATTACAATGTATTAGAACCCCTCTATTTATAGAGAAAAGTGACTTAGCCACCAAATAACAAATCCTAAAATCTCTCTAAAATATAGACATTCACCATAAATAAAATACTATTTATAACAATTACAGTCTTCTCTAAGCACATAATTTTATTTTTTTTAAAGAAAGTTGAGTAACAAAATTCTCTCATATTCAAATGCAGTATTTTCAGGAGGTCAAACAAACTATTTTTGGTTAAGTAAAAAGGAAGGGAAAGGGTAAAGGAGAAACACTATTTTTGGTAGTAGTAAAGGAAGGAACAGATAAGGTAGTTGGACTCTGGTATTTAGCTCTTTTATTGGATGATTTGAACTTTGAAGTCAGTCATCTAACATGGTCGTACCTTGCATATTCTAATTTTCAATTTGATAAACTTGAGAAATTTGGTCATCAATTCATATAAAAGAACCAATAATATGTAATGTCTTAGTTTATCTTCCTGCATGTTAGCAAATGGCTCACAAATCAACCGAGTTGTAGGCTACAAGAAATGCTAATATCAACTGGTTTTGCCTAAAATTAGACCAAATTTGCGAAGTCTGATCAATTGAAAATTAGAAAGAGTAAAATTGAATAATTGAGAGATGCCACGCGCCAACAACATAAACCAAAGGGACTAAACTGCATTTCTCCTCAACTTTATTCCCCGTGTTCGTAAGTATCACTAGAAGTAACAAGAAATACTTCTTACTTCTTAATACCTCACTTTGAGTGGAAGAAAAGCTTTATTTTCCTCATATTATTCGCCGACTTTATTACCTGACAATATAAGGGTGTGTTTGGTATAATCAAGAAAATATTTTCTCGGAAAATAAGTAATAATTTTATTCATTTTCCGGTGTTTGGTACACAAATTAAGGAAAATAACTTTTCAAGAATATTCGTAAATAATTTACATATAATAAACATGAAGCCATAAACTTTCAAACCAACAACCTTCCGAACCCACAAATTTCATAAACTTTTGAACCGCTAAAGCTGAATTTCGAACCCGTAAACTTTATAATTTTTAAACTCGTAAACTTCCAATCACATAAACTTCCGAACTCATAACTTCGGAACTTGTAAAATTTTGAACCTTTAAACCGATAAATAAAAAAACTAAAACTGAAAAATATTTAAAAAAAAATTCCGGGGA